TTCTTTCTATATTTATTGCCACTCTTCTGATAATCTTTTTCTTAAATTAATTTGCAACTCATTGACACTGGATGCTGCTGTCATGCTGACATTAGGTGTGCCCTCAAGTATCCTTTGCAAACCACACAGCATTTACTCTAGAAATCTGTATTAAACTAGTAGCAATAATAGGGCTGTTTCCTAATGCTCACTGACAATTATACTCTTTAGTCTTGTAGGAATAACTCAGAGATAACATCAACTGGTTGAAACTGGAAAGCTTCTAAGCAGACCACCATGAAGAATTGCAAGTAGAAAGTATTAAAAGCAAAAGTCTCATAAGAGAGAGATGAGGAATTTGTACTCCAAAACGTTTACTTCATTCCTTTTTAAATAACACATAAGCAAAATGTTTTAATGAGACTGAAATGTAGTCTGAAATTACCCATGAAGACAAACTGATATGAATTCATCACATATACTCCAATTAGTTCCATACCTCAATTAGCCCTTCCTGAAGTAGTATTCTAGGCTGTACTTTTTCTCGGAAGGAATACAGCTGACCTAACAAACTTCAAATCACTGGGCACAATACATCAATTACACTTCCTGAAACCAATCATTATGTATCAATTTCTTATTTCATTGCACTATGTTTAGTAAATTTGCCAGTACTTTATCATCTCTAATCCTATAAAAATTATTAATACTCGTAATCAAAAATCTCCACAGCAAACCAGAAGTTTCACATTAGAAGAGAACCCCAAAAGTTGAAGAATTAATACTTAATTTAGATAAGCAACCAGAATTTCAAATGCTGATCCAAAGTTTGTCTGAATTATTTTGAACTTGATTTCTAAGTCCAAGAGAGTCTATTTTCAGAAAATTTACTCCAAAGCTCTTTCTGTGGACTTCTCAAAAAATCTTCTGGTATTATCTTGATAAGCTAGATTGTGGATTGAATTTTGTTTTTTAAATATTAACTACAACTTCCTGAGCTGTATTAAAAAGCCCATTAAAAGTTATTCTATGTTTTTACATGCAGAATGCCTTTTAGTACTCCATCTCCTCCTTTCCTTAAATGCAGGGATATTACAAACCTCCATGAATTGAGCCCAATGCTACTTGCTTTAAAATATGGTGTTTTTATTGTTTTGTTTTGTTTTTTTTTTTTTTTCCCCCAGCCATGAGTCACTTTGCAATTTATTAAAAATAATCGGTGATACAACATTATCCTACAGGAGAGTGAAATGAGCAGTCACAGTTGGTTCTCTAACTGTTTTCTCCACATTTATTTAGAACAATCTCTAGGCGTATAATCTGACTGGAGGAGCAAGAACAGTGAAATATAAGGAACAAGTCAAAATTTCTCTTATAAGTGGAGATCATTGCGATTTCATTTTTTTTTTAAATTTAATGGATTTTTAGTCAAACTATTTGGAGTCAAACTTCACAATGATGACTTTCTATTTCCTTACTGATTCATCATGTAAAAGAGCTGCCTTATCCTTGTTTTAAAAATAGAATTTACTTAATAGTGATTAATATAAGTTGCAACACAACAGCTGTGATTGTATTTTGGAAGTGAGCGGTGAGAACTTACTGTGAAACTGTCTCAACTCACCTTTTTATTCTCATGTTGTATGAAGTAGCTTTTTCATTTTGAGAAAGAATTTAAACTAATGTGTTAGAGTTCTGGTGCATTTGTGCACCTACTTAATATCCTCTAGCAGGGATTTTTCTGCCTATGCCTAAGCTTGATGAGATGAGCAGGTTGCAGAAAGCATAAAATGGGACACATGCAAAAATTTACAAGATCCTTTACAAGTTAATCGCCATTTTTTCTGATTTTAAAATCTATGTATAATAATTAAATATTCCTATTTTGTTGGTATTCTCTTAATAATCAATACCCTTCTGGTTTTATATGATATTGTTCTCTAAAAATGTCTATTGCATTATACATGTGAACGTACATGCAAGCTGTTGGGATACCGCAAGCATTAGAACTTGCTCAATAGTTCCAAAGATTATTCCAATCTTTGGAAATTCAGAACATACCATTCTCAAGTGAAGTGACTATTTTAAAATATAAAATGTATTTATCCCAGGAAAGCATATAGGAGAGTCTAGCTGGTATAGCCACATATAGTTAATCCATTTATGCTTCTGCTACTCTGAACCATTAATACCTATCAACTTCATGTTGTGGATAAAATGAATTGATTATCAGTCAACACAAAACCAAGAAAGCTTGCTTACTGTGTGATCTTTCAATTAGACCTAACTTCATTAACTTCTCACAATTCAGGTGCTTCTTATTTCCAAGATTTAGGAAGTCTTTCTGGGAAAGCAAGGGAAAAGAGAGTGCTGGGTATCAACCATCTGAACCCTGGTGACTTGAGGGAGCAAAGAATGCTGTAACAGCTGGACTTGTTTGCAAAAAGCATCTTCAGTGTCAGTACATCCATCACGACTAAAGCAATTTACTGAAATGGAGCTAGTGCTGGTCAAAGATGCTAAACTTTAAGCCCTTAAGCCCTCAAACCTACATTCATCTGCAGAGCAAGCACAACAGATCCACACTGTCTCACCTCAGCTTCAGTTTGAAGACAGCTGATCTAAAGATAAGAGGGCAGGTCATGCTCTATTGCCACAATTAAAATCAGTTTAAAATATGTTAACGAGGAACAGGCTTTCAGAATAATTTCATACCAGCAAGAGCAGAATTATATCTACTCAAAGGTCCGAAGATCTTAGCTGTCATGGAAGCACCTGAAGTTCAACACCTTTCTATGATCCCCCAAGGTGCCACCTCAAGGTTTGGGTGCCCAAATACTTTCAGCAATTCATCTCCATGTGTCTTTTCCTATATTCTGACCTTTATGAACACATATTTATCTGCAGCTATAATTGACACTGAGCATTAATCAGACAGTGGTGTGATTTAGGCCTTAACTGCACTGTTTGAACTGCTGACCTTGAGAGAAAAGGTTTTATATACCATTCCCAATCCCTTAAGTCTTCCTGTCACTGCAAAGCAAATACTTGGCTTTTATGGATGGATTCAGTTTCAAGTCTGTTGTTTTTCTAATGTTTTGTTAAAATTACAAAAGTGGCTTTCAGGGAAAGTTCGTAAACATAGGCACATTTTTCATTACAGATTATTACCAACACAGACGGGCTTTTGTGAAATAGCACATGAGTAGATATAAGTGATAAAATCCTGCACACAGCAACATTGCTTGTAGAATTGTCTTGCGAACTCAGTGATAAATAATACCACAAGCAACAGCAGATAAAATCTTTTCCCTTTTGCCAAACATTTCACAGTTGTTGGTAAAGACTTCTTTAACCAAAGTGGTACAAGGTAATTTCTTCAGATTTGCAGACTTCATCCCCTTTTACAGAACACTCAACTTTGAAATTGCTGCAGCGACATAATTCTTAAGCTTCCTTGCTTTGCTCCTTTCTATGCTCATGTCCTTTGTTTTTCTCACCATTAGTCTTACTGGAATTTTTATATTCTGTTTGTCTAAATATTTAATGGCACAAACAATCTCAAATACAATTCTCATGAGTGTACATTCAAAAGATGAGTACTTGACCTCAAAACAAGATACAAGGAGATACATGGAAACTAGCAGGATCAAAGCTATTAAAAAATATAGCATGGTACATCTTGCTAACAATACAAAATGCATGCATCAATATTAGCAACTATGCTTAGGAAAAAGAAAATTAGGTGCTAAAGTGGAGCAGCTGAGAGTACCTTTATAATAATTAATTCTCAAATATGATGTTAATTCAGTTATTTTTAAATTTTTTTTATTTAACTTCAACTTTTTTCTACAGATGGGTAAATTTAGCATTTCTGGTACTGCTAGCCAGATTTCTGTTTCCTAATTGTAACTCAGAGCCATACTTACTGGAAGATCAGTTGAACAGTTACCACAATAACTGTAATTGTATGGACTACCAAAGGAAGACTGGCTTGGAGGGCTCCTGAAACCTTCTGCAGAATTTACTTACAGCTTCTAACCATATGAATTGAGTGTTAATATTACCAAAGGGCCTACACAAGGGAGCAATGGCCAGCAGTTCAGGATGTTGTGTTGGCATACAGTACCTTATATATGTGAATTTATGCTTTAGTGAAACAGCTACTGAGTCACTACAACTGATAGAAGAACTCCCACAAAATTAATAGAAACCATATTTATAAAAAAAAAAAAAAAAAAACAAACAACAGACAAAAGAAGCTGGAATATCTCAAATGAAAAAATCCAGAGAGAATAAAACAATTACAAATTGGTTATTAACAAGAATAATCAGCACAGCTTGGAAAAACAGACTTTTAAGATGAATTCTGTAGTGCCACAGTCAGCATATCTCTGTCCTTTAAAGCCAATGGGAGTTTTATTAACAGGGAATCCTGTCCGTTAAAATTTCGTAATGATACTCTTCCTTTGTGTAGACAGTGAAACTCTCTCATTGCTTCAAAATTACAAAACAGTGTTTCAAACTTGGCAATACTTCTTTTTGCAAGAACATATGCTCATGGGTCTAAGCTGAAAACCAAAGAACTACTGAAAATTGTTTCCACTACTTTTTTAAAGTTTTGTTGCACTTTTTCCCTGTTTTTTTTTTTTTTTCAATAAGGCTTCCAAACCCCTGGACACCTGATAACAGCAGAAAAACTAGAATAAAACCAAACTCTTAGAAGATACTTATTCATTTAGCCTTGAACAACATATATGAAATAATATATATATAAAGCGAATGTAAGATACCCTCCAAATTCACAGCTCAGTCATTTTCAGACCTTAAAAACAGCTTCTGAAACTCAGCTGTTGTATAGATACATTTTTCTCAAAACCATTTGAAGAAAAATCTGAAAAATTAATGAAACAAGGCTGAAAACCACATTCTATCTCTAATCAATTAGTCACAGAATCACCTTCATCAGAAATTGGGGGAAAACATTAGAAAAAAGTCTCTGCAGTTTATGAGCATCCTACCTTTCTTTTACGCAGTTTCACTTGACTGTCTGAATATTCTTGTGTGGTCAAATGATTCCTTACATGTAAACACTGAATGTCTTCAGCTGAACTGACATTTGAAAGGCATTTGTTCTCAGGGGCCACTTGTGGTTCTGTGAAACCACTTTCATCCAGACCATTTTCCACTGCTGGGATGTGAGAGCAAGGAGAAGATTGCATAAGGCAGTCGCCAGATTCCACTGCTGAACATAGTTGTCTATCACTGCTGGAGCATGATTCAGAAGAAATCCCACTCTCCACTACATTACACTCAGACTTTCCAAGCCCGTCTTTAAAAGCATCAGATTTCCGGCGCTGTTGTGCAATTACAGCAGTATGAAGCAGCTGCTTCCCAGGCATAATAATTTCTTTCACATTTGGAGAATTAGAATGATTTTCTTTCTCTACATCTACTATTTTATTTAAGCCTTCATAATTACAAAGCTCCAGGCTTTGGACAATACTGCCACAAACATCATCTTCTTCCATCTCCTCTTTAGGAACTGTGTCAGAGCCAGTTTCCTTACATATATCTCCAATTATTCCAGATGCTTCATCTGCCTTGTTACCCTCTATTATTGGCATCATCTGTGTTAAGGAGCCTGCTCCATTTAAACTCATTTCTTCATCTTTTAGTTCCCTTCCTACAGCAGTGATGTGGTAATTAACACTATCCAGATTGAGTGCTGAATAGTCATCATCTTCATCAGACACGTGGACTAGAGTTTCTGTGCTGGCCTCCAGAAAATGCTCCTCATCCTCATGGTTATCATTTTCATCCACCTCCTTTGAAACATTTCCCAGCTGTTTTGCAGGGAAGCCAATCAGCTCTCCGCTATAACAGCACTCCGGAAACGAAGCGCGTTTTTCTTTCCGGTCCACGCTCAAAGCCTCATCTTTTTCCATACTTGTCTGCAAGTTATCAGCTACAAGTCCATGACGACATGCTGTATTGTACTCCACAGATTCCAAAGCCAATCCCATCCACTGGGTCACATGCTCTTCCCAGCTTTTCTTTCTGATTGCTAGAGACATGTCATAACAGTTCAGCAGCAGGCTGCAACATACCTTCCATGGAGGACCAGAGGAGATGTCATGGCTGCTGTGCACTGCTCCAGAGGGAGAGAGGGTTTCATCATTTTAACATCTGCAAGAAATAAAAAAAGAGTTACTGAATCAACTCCAAATTAAAACAAAAAAAAAAAGGAAAAAAAAAAAAAAGAAAAAGAAATTAAAAAAAAAAAAGGAAAGGAAGGAACAGTTTAAACCAAAGTGTAAAAACAAGATAAGACTGCGGGACCAGAAGGACAGGAATTTAGAGTACTGTTTTGCTTGAAGTTTTAATACTTTTCATACAAACCTTGACAATAGTCATAATTTACTATAACTTTTTTCTGATTACTCTCCAATATCAAGTAAACAAAAATGGTATAAACAGGCGCATGGACAGGCAAGTAGCTCCAGAGCCAAAATTTGACAATAAGTCTCTCTTTCACTATATCTGTCATAGGATAATAATTTCCATGGGTTTAAATGATATTATGTCTTATGGTGCTTTGCACACAAAATTATTTTGAATTTCTTTTGCATCCAGAGATACCCATGGATTGCACAATTTTGGCTGTATGCCAAAGAGATAGAGTAGAATTTGAGGGTTATTTCAAATTTACCAAAGTTATAAACTACTTGTCTTATGACTAGCTTTGGCTCATTCAGTGACTCTCATTTTTACTGTTATTGTTTCACTCTCTTCAGAGCAAGTTGTAATTACAAGTGTTACATGAAACTACAGGGGAAGTCAGCTGTTGTATGGTAATAAAAAATACAACCCCAGGAAAACTAATTTAAGCTTTTGGCATATTCATTACCTCAAATACACTATAAAACCTGAAAAAAAAGCTTGGTGAGTATATTAGGGATCTAATAATGTAAAGAAAGGAGGAAACCCTTATTTAGAATGGGGGTCTCCAGAAGGGTATCTCGTGAGCCGTAACGGTTGCTTTCCTGGACTGTCAGGCTCTGTCAGAGCTCACTATTCACTTTGATTATCTAGGTGAGTATTTCTCACTGACTGATGTATCGGGCCTTCTGGATGATGGCATTTGAGATACATTAATCTTGTGACACTACATGTGCAAATTAGCACAAAGAAAATACCTCATATTAATTTATGCATTATAAATCAAAATTAACAAGTTCTTTGTCAAATAACAAAACAAAACTTCTGGCCCGTAAAACATTAGAGGTTCAAGAAGCAGACGCTTCTACTTTTCACTCCCTATATAAGAACTGTCAGCACTTAACATGGATCTGCTTATTGATTTCAGCAATAAAGAAGATTAAGTACTGAGTTTGTTCTGGGTCATTTCAGTCCACTAAGGCAAATTCTGATTGCCCACCAGGCCACAAAGCTGCCTTGACAAATCACATGCCTGAAGGTATAAAAGTATTCATCTTGAAAGAAATGCGGAATTATGCCTGTGCAACTGAACCTCTGTAAATTATGTCTTGACAAACTGACTTTCAGAATAGAGTTGTACATGATCCTGGATCTTTAACCTTCTTTGAGGATGGCAAGCTTCATTTCACATTCACATTTTCCACCTCTGTGGAGACTGTGCTTAAAAAGAAAATATATTCATAGGGTAAGAGAATTCCATGCACAAGTCATTAGCACATGGGAGGCTGAGGAAAGTGGAAAATAACACACAGAACCAGGCCAAAAAAAATTATCTGCTTTCAGAGGCAAAACTTGGTAGTAAGAAGTTAATACAACTTTAAGATTCTCTTTTTTTTCTTGGTCGAATATGAGAGCAAGCCTAAATATTAAAATGTAAAGTCAAATTATTGTATAAATTTGCAGTGCATTTACATTCTTATTGTGACTTCGTTTCATATTTATGTTCTTTTACTATTTCTAAGTGTGTGTGGTCCAAAATTACCACAGAGTGCAAATTATTAATGATAATACTTTTAACTTCTGCTGCACCTTTTCTTGATGGGCCCTAAAGCTCTTCAGAAAAAATTACATTAGTTTTATAACACTACTGTGTTCTGTTTTGACTTCTGAAAAGGGGCAGGTCTACTAAAAGGGGCTCAAAGTTTCTACTGCCCTCCATTAGCAGTGCTTGGAGTGGCACCTGAGTGAAGCATTTGCAGCTTCACTCTTCCCCTACTAGGGCGGTAGCTCCATCTACTTACTGAAAATTAAACACAATTGCTACAGCCATATAGGAGATTTTTTGACAAAAATTAAGAAAAGACACCAGTAATATTAAGTGTACAAAGCTAAAAAATGCAATTTCCTAATGACACACATGCATCCATCTACCTAAGATTTAGGCTGCTCTCAATATGCAGAAGACAGGCATTCAAAGAGTTAATCGGTGTGTGTTAATCTTGCTGCTGCTAAATGGAGTTACACGTGTGCAGAAGGGGGAGAACAGATCCCTTACTGTTTTTCATTTTTTGGATGTGGAGAGTTATATTTCATGGGGGATGAAAAACAAATAAATTATACTTTAGGAACCCTTCTGTTTTACTTGTGCTATCACTAGTTTTGGCTGCCTCATAGACTGCAGAAAAAATGATTAAACAGGAAAATATCAAATGCTTTGCTTGAAATGCAAGACAAATAAATATATGACAAGGGCACTTTCATTGTTCTCTAAAATATGAGTTTATGTTAGCACTGAGTATGAAAAATTTACCTTACATATGGTCCCTCTCCAGGCAGCTTCAGCTACCAGTCCCTGAAATCCCCTCATTCCCATGGCACGTGGAGGAGCCTATAGTTTGGTGGAAGCTTTCTTTTCTTCCGCTCCCTCCCCACTCCTCAAAGTCTGCATTATCTGCCATAATTCAGATTAGAAATTATTTTCCTGCCATAATTGATTGACAGTTATGGGCTGACAACAATTTTTTTCTTCTCTCTTCTGCCTCTGTATTCAGGATAACCTATTTCCTTTGCAATCACATGCAGTCACATAATCTGTGCTTTGGAGGATTCACCACTCCAGACCTCTGAATGAGATTCATAACTGCTCCTTTCTCTGACAGAGAACAAAGTGCGCTGCCACTTTACAGAGAAAGTGTTCCTGCCTTGATCACTGCCTTTCTGCTATTGTTGCTCACTTTTTTCTTGACATGCAGCATCTTTTATCCTCTGAGAAATTTCCCTCTCAAGTCTTTTTGTACTCTTCACCAATTGAAGAAGCATTCCCCTTTCTCCCTTTCCATCATTACCATCCTACAACCAGAATCCTCTATATCTGTTTTTTTCCAGATTTTTAAGACAGGCAGATGAACTCTTAGTACTCTGTTGAAATGTTTTGTAGAGTGAAAAGACCTTTTCTTCTGATCAAAACATCTGTCAGTATGATACAGTCCACTCATCTGCTCCCCTAATTCACTCATATTTTGCTTTTACTTTTCAATAGCACTAAACTCAGTACTGCTTAGTACTATTAACTTTCTGAAGAACAAAGCTTTGAAACAGAATATGAATGATAAAGACTTCTTTTGGACAAAATTTCCTGATCCTGGGTGTGAATTAAGGAATATTGACCCAGCAGGCAATTCTTGACCAAATGTAATTGAGCAGTGGGAAATTGCGCTGAAGCAGAATCTCCTTCAACCACCCTCTGTGATGCTTCACAGTGTTTACAAAACAAGATGTCATTTTAGATGGATTTTGCAATAATTTACTGCCTGTCTCCTTTCACTGTAAAATATAATGGAAATGAAAAATAGGTCAAGCTTTTATGCTTGTTTACTTTTTGAAGATTTTTATTGAGTCTCACAGAACTGATAGTTGCAACTGATAAAACACAAAGTGAAATGATGTATAAGATGAAATGGTAGGCTCTCCTATAATTAGATTTTCTAAAATTCTCCTTCAGGGAGGATTCCTGTGATTTCTTTCTGAGGAGCTCAAACTAAACTGTTTCCAGCAGGCTTCTAGGATTTGGAGCTAGAGTGAGAGTGGAAAGGGGAGGAAGGACAGTAACTTGAATGTCTGTATCTGTGACTATCCAGAACTGTCAGAGACCCAGATCCCCTGCTAGGGCACAGGATGGGACACAAAGACATCCCAGTTACAAGAGTGGGGAAGCAGAGGCATACAATCAGGTCTCTCTGGTCCTCCAGGTGCTCCCTCAGCCTTCCAGGACACAGGAGCAGAGCCCAGTCTGGTTTTCCAAGTAGAAGAAAGTGGTAAGGAGAAAAACATAGAGCCGTTCAGCAGCAGCAGCCACCATATGGGACGGGGCAGTGAATGCCATGTCATTAGAATGGAATAGCTTTAGAAAAAGTGGGCCTAAATAAGTCACCACCATGCTGGATGACACCTTGGTGGCATCTCTGGCTGGACAAGGTGAAGACAGCCACTGATCCATGTGTGGCATCCCTGCTGCCCCCACCAGATCTACCATACTGACAATTCATTGCACCACACATGACCTCCGCATTTCAATAACTAGAAGAGTTTTGGAAAGGAGAAAGCCAGAAATAACATGGGAGAGTTGACTAAAGTATAAGTGGCAGGAGAGTTTCAGAGGGGGTGGCCCAGGCAGTACAGCCCCTGCCATCCTGCCAGTGGAATTCAGATTTTGCTAAAGCTTCACACGGGATGCAAATCTTTTCAGTGAAAAAATAAGGCAAAGTGTTAGCTTACGAGCTTGCACAGAGATGAAAGACTGTTTCATTACATTTTTTACATAGCAGGCATATGTAAGCAACAGAGATCAAGCAGAAATATTTATCTTGTTATCATTATTTTATCTTTGTTGGTCTGTGACCCCAGTCAGCAAACTTTGTTTAAGGAAGTCTAAGAGAACAGGGTCTGTTTCCTATAAACTCATCTCACATCTTCCTGGTCTGGCTTACATTCAGCTGTTTCAGTAACTCCAAACCAAACTCTGAGACAGGATGTTGTTTACAAACAATTTGAGATAAAATATAAGCCTCTAGGTCTTCACTCAGCTAGTTATTTTAAAATATCTCCTGTTTTGGAATTTACAATCCCTCCTTCTCTTATTTCCTGGACATATACTGCCCTTTGGATTTTACTGGAGTGGAGACTTACCTTGCCTTCAGTATCTATATAAACAGCCTTTGTAGTGCAAAGATATAAACCATGATAAACCC